GACAGAAGTGAAGTCGAATTAGTCAAACTTAAACTTGACTTTTATTTTTCCATATGTTTTTTTGACAAACGATGCATAATCGAGAATGACTTAACTTGAAACGACGTATCCGAGGTATACCTGTATCGATAATATATTCATAATACGTAATCCGAAATATGGCCGTTATGAAGTTAGCAAAAATAAACAAGGTTAACCATCAACGTTGTGATGACAGTTCCAAGCGAGATTTCATTTGGATAGTATTTTCCGAAAGGTGAATAAATTTTAGAGTGCAAATATTTCAAATGAACAAATGCGCGGCGTGTGAAACATCACTGCAATTACCGGTTGTTCATTTTCTGTGTAGGCACTCCTATCATGCCCATTGTCTGGAATCGTATAGCGAAAAAGCAGATTCTTGTCCTGCTTGCATTCGTTTGCGTGCTAGAAATAGGTCTGTTGCATTGTTCGCTTTTCTTTTTGCCATATAAATACTCATTTGCCATATGAATACTCGTGTGCACAAATTTCTTTGCACTGGCAACTGATTATTGCACAGCCGATTTGTCAATAAAAACGGTCTTTTTGTACTTGATAGGAGTCGCGATCACGAGTCGGATAGATTCAACAGCCGAAGTGCGCGAAAACAATTCCGTGATGAGGTATTTTTAGTTGTTCTTTAAATTACAATAATCATTAAAGTGTCGAGTTTGTTTTTAAGATAGACTCAAGTGTTGATTGTATGTCACTAATAGCGTCATATATGAGTGATGGATTATTCGATTCGTGGTCAAGTGAGCAGTCGAAAGCTGCTCACAGCCAGCAACAGCAGCAGTACACCGTGCCAACGGCTCTGAATGCCGCAGTGTCAGCAAAGCCATCGTCTTCTTCGTCAGCTTCCATATCACAGCAGTCAAAAAGCACCGCGGATATCGATCAGTCGAAGAAGTCGCTTCCGGTCACTCCATCCTTTCTCTCGAAACGTGCTGCCCAATCAACAACCAAATCCACAAATCCTTTTGATGAGGATTTCAATGATAGGAGCAGCAGTAGCAATAGCAGTCAACATACCACAACTCCACTGTCGACGAATCCTTTCGGAACTGGTTTTTAATATGAGTATTCAGATTATTTTGGTGAATTCATTTCTTTTCACTCGCTTTGCTCTATATTTTAGAATTATTCACTTAAAATATTCAGTATTTATGCATATTTTAAATGACTGACTTCCATTTTTTACTCACACTGAAGTGCATTTCAAAAACTGAAGAACAATCAGTTCATATTCAGATTCCTTTCAATACAACACACATTTTTAGTTATAATCAATTTTTTGAGGAACATTCAGTCAACGGGACTTTCAAATTTATTTGTGTTCTTTATTGAAATTTTTATTGTTCGTAACGTGTTTGTATCAATAAACATTTAAGATAAGTTCGTTTCGATATCCCTATGAGCAACAGTGTTAATGAGCTATAACACCGGTTTCATCAGCTGCTTTTGGACGTCCTTTTGATTTCTGCAACATCTCATCGCTAATTTTCAGCACTTTTGGTTGTTCCCAAGGAAACTCGGCGTGTCCAAAATGTCCATTTTCCGCAGTTACTTGATATATTGGACGTTTCAGGTTCAGATCTCTGAAAATTGCTCATAATGATGAGTTTACAACTGACAACGTGTATATTAGATACGTATACATGAAGATAAAACGAATGAATGAGCAGGTGAATCAACATAACAACACACCTAATGATAATTCCAGGTCTTAAGTCAAAATTGTCCTTAACGATTTGCAATAATTCACGTTCTTCGAGGGCTGATGTACCGAATGAAAATATCATCACCGAAAGTGGTTCAGCTACACCAATTGCATATGAAACCTGCAATTATGAGTCGATTTTGCGGTGGTGAATGGCGTTGGGTTTTTAAGAGCACCACGAGTGGCTGCATATCGTGCCAAATTTTCAGTGCTACTATAAATTCATAACCGACCTGAACAAGACATCGACGGCAAAGATTCGCTTTGACTAGACTTTTTGCAACCCATCGTGCTGCATATGCAGCCGATCGATCAACTTTTGTCGGATCTTTGCCCGAGAATGCTCCACCTATGGATAAAAAATGATATTGAATGGTGATTTCGTGATCTATGTGTTAAATGATAGCATTGTAAACTGCTGATGTTTCAAATGCCAGCATTAAGTAAATGCGTTTCAAGTGTATCGGTTATTAAATGAATTGAACGTCAATCCTCATCTCTCACGATCAGACCAGTACGAAATGATAACAAGAGACACAAATAGTTAGGCACCTCCATGAGCTCCCCAACCACCATAAGTATCAACGATAATCTTGCGGCCAGTAAGTCCAGCATCCCCTAAGGGACCACCAGTGATGAAACTTCCACATGGATTCAAGTGGAAGATGGTGTGTTCATCGATAAGTTCGGATGGAATGACTTGCTTGATGACAAATTGCATTAAATCGTCTCGTAGCTGTTTCGTAGTTACGTCTGGATCGTGTTGCGTTGATAAGACAATGGTGTGTACACGTCTTGGTGTGCATGCACCACCGTCGAATTTGTATTCTATTGTTACCTGTAATCGAATGATGAATTCATAAACCGTTTCATCTCAGTCTGTCCAGTACTGACCTAATCCAGTAATTTACTCACCTGTGACTTCGAATCTGGTCGAACCCATTTCAGAGTACCAAGTCTTCTTAGTTCGTGCAATTTGGCATTTAGTTTATGCGCTAATAACAAAGTCAATGGCATTGCCTCTTCTGTTTCGTCGCTTGCGTAACCGAACATCAGGCCCTTTAATCTTATTTTTAAAGCAGTCGTATCGTTTATTACTATTGTTTCAATGCTCGGTGATGATCGCAGTCTACATCAGTCAAATTTTGTTCATATGAACAAATCAATTAATTCACTTCAATGAACTGTGTACACTGTACGAAATCATACGACTTGATTTAAACTGAGATCTATAAATCATTTCATGTGAAACATGTTAAATATTGAAACAAGTTTTGAATCGGTCGATTGAAAATTGATGTGATTAGATGTGAAACGGATGTGTGTCTTCAATGAAATTTTATCTATATTCAGCATTGTTGGTTATCTTTTACGCATTCCTTTGAACTGCAAAAGCATCGTAACGAATAAACTGTCGTGACATTTCATTGAAGCAGCTAAATACAGTGAACGAATCACTGTCGTTATCAGTGACCGTCAAGTGTGCTATCACTCAAACAAGAATGCCACTCATTCCTATTCATCAACGGTGAGCGAGCAGCGAGTGCAATCAAAAGTTCCACTTGTTTACATCGCAAATACTGTCTGTGGATCGAGCAACTCATTCTCTATAAGCGCACTATATGAAACCAAGTGTTTAACCTGATCACCGGCACCTATCTCTTCGTCGCGTTTGTCTTTGTGAACACCAGCTGCAATTTCTGGCGATTGCTGTTCCAGTGCTACTAACACATTGCATGTTTTATAATCGAAGCCTTAATTTGAAATCATCAGTCCTTGAAAATTCAGCGTGATCAACAGTCAAAATGTGACGCATTAGTTTAATGCAAAGTACCTTTATTTGAATCATCGTAACCAATCTTTTTAACCACATTTCTCACCAACGTCTGATAATCAACATTTGCTTTAGAGGTGACTTCACCGCATAACATCACCATACCCGTCTTGGTCACTGTTTCTGGAAGGAAAGTGACCAATTTGCAGAGGGTATTTCTAAATGATCACTCCTTTCTTGACTTAGTTTAGCGCTAGAAAATTTATTTAGCGTCTTTTTATTCGCTTCATTGCTGATATCAAAATCGAAAAGCTGAAAATTTCTCGGATTTAAAGTGAATGTTGCTGTTTATGGGGAATTTTTGGAAATATGATTCAAAGATGAGTGAAAATTAAACTTGAAGAGCTGGGTTTTGATATGTAACTGTATGTGCTTGTAAGGATCGTTATGAATATGCGGTGTGCTCAAATGAAAGTTGATTGGAATTTATGTGAAGTTAAGTTAAAACTTATGAAGTGAAAGAAATTTGCAATTGCTTTGACTGGGAATGCTGATGAAAAATTTCCTTTAAGAACCTCTGCACCTAATTACTCTCTTCAAGTTAACAACAAATCATGCACATTTCAGATGGATCAAGTTCTGTATACGATCTCCATCTTGTGTGGGAATGATTCTAGTTGTAGGCCTGCGATTCACAAATGAAATGTGATCTCTTTCTAAGGTAATATTAAGTCGTTCTTATCGTACCACAGGCTACTTTTGCTTCAGGATCGATGGCCAAATGTGCATCTAGAACTGCATCAGAAATCTGAAAAACATCCACTGAATACATTCTTCTACTTGTTCAACTCATCATTGCAAAACGAAATAAATTCAAATAATTAGCCTTAACATACATAACACAATAAATTCAATTAACAACATATATAAATACAGAATTATGATCATTAATCGCACTTCACTAAACATTTCAATTTTGAAGTGAAAATAACCATAAATTAGCTTACGCCATATTGGAAGAGCAAATGGGCGTTTATATAATATTATAACATCGCATACCTGGTCACACATTTTATCCGGATGACCCTCAGAAACGGATTCAGAAGTGAACAGAAATGTTTCAGATGAGTCTAGATCAGAAAATCGTGACGGCGCCATATTAGAGCTGTAAATTCACATGGTAAAGTATGTGTAATCAGCAATTAGAGTTAAACTAATGGCTGAATGTAGTTGATAAGTTGAAAGGAAATAGAATGAATGACTGAATGCTGGTTATTGAAGTGGGGGTTTGTTATTGCTTGATAAGAGGTTCCCGAGTTCATTCCTCTTGCAAAAAATACACGTTTGTTAGAAGGCGTGGTTCATTTTTATCACATCATACCCTACCATATAGTGATAACTTGTACACCTCTCTTGATTTGTTCTTTATTCTCTTCTCGTCGTTAACCAATCAAATTCATTTCGTAACAATAAACTGTCGCTTTCAAAGTTTCGTTCTTGACTTATGTGATCACGAAAGAAAATGACATCAGACGTACATACAATCTTTATGAAAGGGATGAAAACACGCAAATGTCATTCAAACGCTCTGTTCCATCGATTAACGGATCAATTCTGTTCAGATTGAACACACATCTCCTGAAAAGTGTCGAACATTGGGGTTGGAATAATGTCGATTAGATTGGATGATGAAAACGTCTATGAAGCTTGAGTATAAGTGTGAACGTAAGGCTAAGGCTAAACGCTAGCCTCAGCCCAGCCGACGGGTTTGAGAATTAAGCTTAATCGCAGATTAGAAAAAGTTGAAAATTTTGAGTTTCCGACAGTTCATCAACAATTTTTACGTTTCACCAATGATTGTTATTACATATAGATGGCATATTCATATCCATATACACGTTTTCGGGCAATTGCAAGGCCGCAATTAACGATTAATCGGCATCTTCACATATAAAGCAATCAATATATGAATACGATTTTGATCGGAAAACTTTCACTTGAAGTTGTTTGTTTGACCGCAGTTCGAGTGCAAAATATTTTAAGTTAATTGACGTCCAGTATGTGAATACAACATTCGATCATTAAAGGTTCCTTTTTAGCACTGTCATACCCAACATGATCCATTTCAAAATCTTTTGAATGCATTTTTCGATTGGATCGTTCTCATTCATAAGAGCAATATTATTGTTCCTATCAGTATAATGTGTTTATCAATATCTCACAAACATAGCTATTTCGTTCCAATCAAAATTCGGTGATGTTTCATCCTATTTCTTTTTCTTTATCCTCATTAAAAATAATTTCATTCGTTTGTTTTCTGAACTTCGAACGCGTATCAATTAATATTGACTTTATTGTTTATTATTAGTATCAAATAGCGAAATATTTTTTGAGACCAAAGTTTTTATCGATGCAGTCTTTGACTGATTAATCAAAAGTTAGTTACTTTTTGGTGAAGTCTAATTTTACTCTCTTTCATACCTAACTGATTTCATCTCAGTGAAGGATGACTGCTGTTCAAATAAATTAAAGAGTGTATCCTAATACTACGAATAATTCATACATTTGAAAGCATTTGGATCACATATACCGAAAAACTTTTACGTTTTCATAAGAACAATGGAAATGTTTAAAAAATGATAGTGCCGATGATAAATGGATTTATGTGCCATGTGATTAAGATGTCATCAGATTATTTCCTCTCTTATTGAGATGTCATCAGATTATATTATTTACTCAGGTTATTGTGTGATATATTTTACAAGAGAATCAATCCACCATATCTATTGAACCAAGTGGTTCTTTGTACACGCAACAACGACTGTTCGCAAACTATTCCTGCTCATTAAATGAACATTCTTTCCGTTCAACACTTTCATTTTATACAACAGTTCACCAATTTCATACATCTATTCTTGAGGCTACAACAACAATAATAACAACAATTTCAAACAGATAATAATGGAGGCCAAAATATAAATACAACCAATGAATATTGAAGTAGTAGTTAGATCAGATGCGATTCATGCCATCAGAGCATCGATGGCAACTATCATGTTTTATAATAGCTGGTTCGATAAACAGCAAACGTAATAATAATTAACATCAATATTATACTAACTATAATAATATGTTATAATACGATTAGAGATTATAATATAATATGATTACTAATTATAATATGATTAGAGATGTTAATACTGGTATAGATTATTGATTGATAGAAATGATAATCAGTGTTATGACAGTGCCATGTTGCAATCACAATTCATTATTGCATCATTTTGTTTTTCATTCGCTGTCATCTCTTATTTGTTCAACTCATTTGAACATCCAAATTAGTGCGATAGCTTTTTGAACGGTGGCAACTAGTGTGATGCGGGCATCGGCGATTTTCGGGGTCCAACTTTTTTTAAACCGATCGCATTTTAAAGATCCCCGACTGCAATATTTCGTCCCGGACTTTTCCAGAATTGTCGGGAATCCTCGTTCCCTGAAAATTTTCGCAGAATTCCCCGAAAGTTGATACCATCAGATAAAAGCATCAAAGACGTGAATTCGAAGCGATTTTATCCGAAATGTCAATCGTTTTGATGGTGAACGACAGATGTGAATGAAAGTGTTATTTCTTTAAATTTGCTCAATTTGTCAAACATTTCAAATTTTTTGTTTTTTGAAAACCGTATTTTTCACGTTTGTTATTTTTGAGTTTCACTCATGTTCAGTGATCTGCGTTGGACCTTTTCGAAATGTTAATCGGTGTTACTGACCAATATTTGTTCAATATACGTTTTATATCATCGAACTTTGACTGTTCCCTGTCAAAAAAGTCATTATTGTTTTGTCACAAAAGTTATTTTGTTGTTACATTGTTTATTGTGGTTGAATAAAATATTATTGATAAAAAACTGCATTGTGACTTCGCAGTTGTCTCTGTTCTAAGTTAAAGGTTGCTTATTTCAACGTTTTTTTATCAGAAAATCCTGTTTTCAAGGTCCTACTGGTTCCAATTCAAAGGTTCGATTTTCGGAAAAATTCAGGATCGAGGACAGGGACGAGATTGCGTTTATTCCTCGAAATTCTCCGTCCTCGACTTTTTTTAGCCGACCATATTTTCAGGGTCTTTGATTTTCGTCGACTTTTTTCCGTCCTCACGACGCATCGATGGCAATTATCATGTTTTATGATAGCTGGTTTGATAAACAGCAAAGGTAATAATAATTAACATAAATATTATACTAATTATAATAATGTGTCATAACAAGAATATCATTGATGATAAACATAATCGGTTTAGAGTTACGTTTAGACGGTGAGCGGTTGGTTTGTGGATCGTTCTATGCGATCGGCAAAAAGTTCGTCATTGTTGCGATTGTTTAATGGATTGTTGTTGGTGTTCGGCTGGATTTAATTATGCAAATGGACTATGGTAATGTACACTTGTTATTGGTCGGTTGTGGAGTGCTTGATACGCCGATTGCTATGCATCTACTCGGTTACATTAATCGTTTATTACTGATAACGAAAACTTACTGATTCACTACTGTTGCTTGTTGCGAACAACTACTTTGAACGATCGTTGGACAATTGTTCAATCGATCCATCGGAACGTATTTCTGGGCTCCTTCTGATTGTGAGTCCATCTCCCTAGAAATCATTGGGTAATATAGGAGAGTAGCCCAAAATCTTTGTGTTTGCCAAATCAATAATCCAGGTTCGAAGTTCATGGAGACAGATGATTTCAAACGTTTTTATCGTTAGCTGCGCGGAAAGAAGAATGCCAAGGAAGGAAGAATGTGATATTAGTGATATTGGTGATAACAGAGAGACATAAACTCGTAATGAGTTTGATTTGCTGATTAAATTTAAAAAAAAAAACCGATAACCGTAATTACGATGGTAACAGTGCTGTTGATGGGTAAGAAAACATAGTAACATCAGTGATCTTGCAACAAACGAGAGTGATCGCTGCAAAAATTGCGTAAGATAACTTTTCAATCTTACCAATATTTTTGAACAACAGGCGGACAGTCATTATGCGCAACCACATCAACAACGAAGAACTGCTTGCCTGATTGTGGTGTCCTTAACCTGACCAAGAAGGGTGCTTTCAGAATCTTGCACAGCTCCATAACGTACTTCTGTGTGATCACCCTTCAAAGATACAAGCCTCTGAAGGTCATGATTTTTCGAGCGTATGAACCCCTCATTAGAGGTTTTGTATGTTTTGAAAATTTTCCTCTCCTCAATTTTCAATCATTCTGACACAATTAATTTGTGAAAATGCCAACGCTAAGATTCCCAAATAACAAAAACTAAGCACATTGGAACACTCACTGGGAAGGTATAATAAATTTACATCTTCAAAAAATGCCAAAATTTTCAACTTTCGAGGGATCGCAACTTTTAGTGTATCCAGCTTGGTCAAGGAGGACCGTGAAATGTGTGGAACTACGCTCTTGAATCGTTAATACAAACCTTTGAAGATCGTTTTTCTAGGACGGAGACAACATCAATGAATATTATGGCAGGCGTAAATGTTGTTTACTTTGCCAATTTCAGACTGTGGGTGGAACACATTACTTTATTGTGTATGTTTTGCTGTAGTGATGATAAACGCTGACGAATTTCGGTTGGAACATCGAATGTCGGAAAATGTTGAAGAATGGACTCGATGGGATTCCAACCGAAATGAAATTTCGTCCAAATCTCATCACTATTCTAACACAACAATGATAAAATCAGTAACAATTGTAATGATGATGCAGCCTAATCACATCTAGCCGAATCTTTTTGCCTTGGGTCCACTGGGCAATGACAATGTTCGGGTGACGGCAATCATTTGTTTAGCTGACTCTTAAGAATCTTAGTTGTGCTCAGCATGTTGATCAGACTGAAGGATGAAGGGCTGTTTGAAGTATAGCATAACAACCGCTTTCCCTCTACAAGTACCCAAATAGGATACGGCTTTCAAGAAAAACAATCCTCAAGCTCCTTTTCGCCTTACTAAAATTTCCCTTCGACACTGTTTGGATTCGAAGTCCCTGTTGATTTAGTGGAGAGTCGCATGAGGAAATCATTTGTTGCATTTCGAAGCGATCTTTTTTGAGGTAGTGTGCGATGACAGAAGCTCGTCTGATCACTGTTGCAAATCTGATCGATGCAAGTTATCCTCTTCACTTACATTACATTACCACCAACAACCCTTTTACCATTCTCAGCTCACCTATCTGACCACTTTCGCAAGATCTCCACTCCCAGTCAGAACTAGCCAAAAAATTTCTACTCTCAGCGCCATACGAATAAAGCAAACTATAGAAGCAGTCGGCTTCTTCTCACACAATCTTATCAATTGAAATCAAGTCTTTTCCTGTGAAAAATGCAAGTTTCGAACGAATTCAGTATCAATGTCATAATGCAAACGTGGCATACAGTTCCCTCACTGTTAACCGTTCTGTTACGGGAGTACAGACTGCAACTGCAGTAGTTCAAAAGAAGTCGGAACCCTATCACATCTTTCATCAAAAGCTTGTATGTATCCTAAACAGAATGCCGCCTGCTCAAGTTTCATATTGAATGAACGATTCTCATAGGGAACAACGCAAGTTTTATCCTCTCCAGATGAACGAACCAAATGGAAAAAATGCGGACGTTCCAAGATTAAGACTCTTAATAGTACATTTTATACGTTCAACAAATAGAATTCAAAATGAATCGATAAATAAATAAACAACAAATCAAGGCAATTAGGACGCCGAAAAGGAATAGTGGGCCAAATTAGGGATGAAGTTCAGCTGAGAACATGAAGTTTCAATAAATTAAGAACACATTATTGAGTTCGAGCACAAAACATAAGATGATGATAAAAAACAATAGAACTAGAAATAAATTAAGAGGCAGCCAACAGTGTGGCTAAATAACATGAAATGAATGTGTAACATACAAAAATAAACAAGAGATGATTACACATCAAGTACAGCAACAACAGTTCTCTTTTGTTTGATGAACGGCAAGAGGACGACCACCACAACTGATAGCAATATCAATTACTTATCGACTACCTTTTAATCCACTTCAGTAGCAATCAAATCACTATCATAGCTATCTAACCAGTATCTCTGATCTAAAGTATGCAACACTTTTATTATCCCTGAGTGATAAGATATACCCTTGCTCAGCACCGTTCAAACAACAATATGTATGCAGCTTAAAGTTCAGTATGGCCTTCCTCCTCTTCACGTTCACTTTCAGCTGCAGCCTTGTCCGACTCAGACATCCCTGCGCCTTCTGCACCGCCGCTCTCGAGGAACTTCACAAAGCCTTCCAGCGTTCGTTCTCCAGAATAATGAACGACCTGCAAAACATCATCAGTTGAAAACTATGTTCAGCTTCTTTTATAAAACGATTTGTGAATGATTAACGACAACAAACCTTATTGGAATTTGCTGGGAAGTACTTGATGGTTGGATATGACTGAACCTTAACATCTTCGACTTCGTTTGCTGTTGCATCCATCTTTGCTATCACTATATCCTTATGATCCTTGTATTTCTCACCCAATTTGTCCCATATCGGTGCCAACTGTTTGCAATGCCCGCACCACGGTGCATCTAAAAGCAACTTATTTTTTTGCATTTCATTCCAACAGAGAGATAGCAATTTAATTAACAGACAATCAGTTATGGTACACTATTTAGAGTGAGCAACTTACAGAATTCAACAAGCACGTTACGCTTTGGATCCCTAGCCACCTCGTCAAAGTTCTTGCCGACCAAAACTTTCACTGGGTTCTTGTCCCAATCCTCCGGAATTTCCTCGCTCATCAAATGTGGCTTCAATTTGCCTTCCAGATATGTACTCGTAAACTTGACCACATTCTCAGTTGTGATCTCGTCGAAGTCGGGTTTATATTTAGTCATATCTTCATCCAAACTGATCAGACGAACTGCTGGCAAATCGGTTTTCTTGAGACCAAAGAACTCCATTATACGTGCATTGTCTTCCACGTCAGTGTTGATGTAAACGAACAAAAGCTGCAATTGATACTGTTGTGCTACGGCAGCTATTAGGCAATACACGTTAGTCCAACGAATTCACTTTTATGTCACTAATGAGAATGACTGTACAAGTGAACACCTACTTTGCCCTTGAACTGCATGGCTGCCTCACGGAACTCCTTTTCGATTTTCTCGAAATCTGCACTTTCTTTCGAGATGAACAGCAAATTGTGCGATTTGATATCACCACCGAAAATCAGTGATGCTGATTCTTGCGTGAATTCGCTTACTACTGGCATCCTGTTCACCTTAAAACATTCGTTTTAGTATTGCAATTTATGATTGTCTTCTGGCTATTTACGAACCGAGCTGAATCAACGAGACAAAAAAAACGAATAACGGCCCACCTGGATCCAAGCTTTAAGTTCATCGAAATTGAGTTTTCCATCATAAACATTACGTCCTTCGTCGAACTTCTTCAATAAGATGACACCCTCCTCGGTGGCTTCCAGTTGCTCAGCTGCTTCCTTCTTTGAAGTGATTCCGAATGGCATGTCGTCAATTTGAGCAGCTACTTCGAGGAATGCCTTTGCATCTGCACCCTCTACGTCCTTAATTCATAACGATCAACCACGCATCAACATACATATAACAAATTGAATGATAAATGAATATTCGAGTCAAGGTCACCATCATGTCATCCTCAAACTGCACTCAACTCAATATTACACAGTCACTCTCATTTAATTCGTTCATCACATGCATTCGTCTTGAATTCCAGATAAAAATCCATTCCAGAAAACACCAACCTTGAAGTATCCGACGACAACCACATCAGCTGATTCTTGATAATCCTTCACATCATCACTTGTTTCAAGTGTTTTCGCGACTGGTCCGGTCTTCTTTTTGAGCCAGGCAATGATTGAAGCTTTGTCACGACCACCTCCATATTCTGTTGGTTTGCCGTTTCGGAAGAATTTCAAAGTTGGATAACCCCGAACCTATAATTGAAACATATACTCACATGTTAACTCCATTCCAGTGTTGATAATGAAGACAATTCAAAGCGATCAAAGTAAGAACCTCAAACTTCTGTGCAACAGTATCGTGTTGAGTGGCGTCGCATTTGGCAAGCTTGATCTCACTACCCTCTTCCTTTAATGCGGTCGCTGCTTTGGCATATTCGGGTGCGAGTGCTTTACAATGTCCGCACCAAGGCGCATAGAATTCAACGAGGACAAACTGGTGGCCGTTCACCACTTCATCGAGATTGTCCTGAAGTTAAACCAATTTCGAAAATGAATCGGTTATTAGCGCTGAGGCAAACAAAAATGAAACAACAACAGCTAACTTTTTGTAACTGTACAAAAGTTTGATGAAGCAGATCTAATAAGTGGAGTCGAAAATACACACAAAATGAATACAAAATCAATCGATCGATTAAAAAACACTGATCAACAAATCTCAACGAAATGCTCGTAATGCAAATAATCAACAATCATATCAAATTAACCTTTGTAATCACAATAACATTATCCTCCTCTTCATATGCAGCCAATGTCGCCGCGATAACTGCAAATATACCAAAAACGACCAACTTGTACATCGTTGAACGGATCGAATGATTTCTAACACACCACTGAAAATTTCTATCACTAATTTCCTAGTCGTGTGGCATTTTCATTGGATCAAATTCTATTTTTAGTACCGCCCATTTTCATTGCATATCGACGTCGTATATTTTACCTTCATTGCAGCATTGAACACGTCACACATAGTTTAAACCTCACTCAGGCGAGATGCGCCAAATTCAAATGATTTCTTACTTTAGTATGGAATCCACCCTTAATGACTGTTATTTCTGTTCTTGTGATTATGCGTTTTGTAATATTTTATCTTTTAATGCGGACGGAACAGAATGAATATCGTCAAGTGTAATAGGATTAAATCGCTGATTTGAATAAATTTTACTACGGATTTTCGATTTTTGAAAAAAATTTTTCTGGTCGAATATGTTGATTCACGACTGAATTTTGATGATTGTATGGAATGAAAAATTGATTTGATGAATTCTTGGAAAGTTACTGATGTGCATTACCATTGTAAACGGGTCCATCAGTCATTTAAGTTTCATTGTGCTGAAATGCTTACAAAATATTTCTCAGTTAAGTGGAAGCAATTCCCAGTCTTGTGCAATAAGCTGGTTATAGACTGAAGGAAAATGAGGAAAAACAATGGCAAATAATGTTAACAGGAAAGGGGTAGGGCTTTTTCTAATGTTATTGATTGTATGGGAATTACCTGAGAAAGTTCAAAAGATAGGAATAGTTCGAGAAATATAACGCTGGTCTATGAGGAGGAGGGCACATGATAAATGATACCGATATGGTGAACTTTTAGAGAATTGTCATGGTTTGTTTTGCGATGACCATAATGACAACTAATGTACGTGGCATTAAATGTCAAGCGTACTGTAGAATATGTCTATGACATTTAATTGTTATTATTATCATCTGCGATGGGATTGGATTCTTAATCAATAATTGTGACGAAGTGAAGGTCATTTGATGTATAGTACAAATTGAATAGAGCGATATTTTTGAGAAATGAGAAAATCCGTGAATGACTCAATTATTAATTCGTTGTATGATACCGAGTACAATAAAAGAAAATGATACGTCAAAATTTGTGGAGTGCAATCACTTATTATTAAGCATCAGTGATAGTATTAATGATTTTCTGGGATTAATTTTTGAAGTAGGATCATAATTGAATGCTCAGGTAAGAAGAATATACGATTCACGATGCAATATGACATCTTCAAGTCAGTATGAACTCTGTCTTAACGACAATAGACCGACAACCAAGTTGTGTACGTCTGTTTCTTCGTTAATTCCGACTGAATAGTATCTGCTTACTTAAGCAGCACGTGCATTTATCTGCTTACTTAAGCACTCGTTCTGGCATACTTCGGTCAGAACGAACAAGGCTACATTATCGTCCAATAAATCAAAATGATACCTTTTCCTTAATAGTCAACTACGACCAGTTCAATAAAAATATCCAATCAATTAAAATTATTTTAAGTCCTAAAATTCAACAGGTTCAATATATCACTTTGAAAGCTTCCTTATCCAGTCATTAACATCAAGTGAGCAACAGACAATTGTTCTCTAGGTAGCCCATAATTCTGCACGTAACGGCTTAGAGCTATGTTAAAACAAATGTGCTAGATGCGATGAAATCACTCATTTTGAAACAAATGTTTCATTGAACGGCAATCCACAAGCGATTGTTTGTTTGGGTTTGAAGTCGATCGCTAATGCTACGTGAAATCAAACAGAAACAAATGCTCTTGTTATCGCACTACAATGTAAACATCCAAACGCCAATCGTTTCCGTCCATCCAACAATACACAAATGGACACACTTTTTCAGGGACTGACTCAATCGAAACGTCGATGTCCATGATCAAAAATCTATATCTCAGTGCGGGTCATAAACCGGTTGTTAGATAATTGATCAATTTCGGCACACATTAACTTTGCCACACATCAGTGGACAACGATTAATCAATTCAGATAGAGTACGTTTAGCTGGCGAAATTATGCAAATTTATCAAAATAAAGGACAGCAATTTAGCATTTGCGAGTCACACATTTGTCACATACATTGCCTAAATTCATACGTTTGCCACGCACAAACTGTTTGAGATAATGATTTCCGGAATATCACATCATTTATTCATTGACGAACAACTGCTTTGAAAAGAGAGACGGAAAAATCGCTCTACGTTCAGCTGTTTCCAAGAAAACTAATTAGGAAATTAATGACACCTTGCTTTCCGATACCGAGCCTCAAAGAAAATTTTCAAAAAAAAAAGAAAACAGAATAACAGAAGTATGCAAAACCAAAAATAAAAGCAAAATGACCATCAATGTAATCCAAAAAGTGGCAATATATCAAGTCTGTCAGCAATACACGACGAACCGTAAGATATAATCCTTAAACACCACAATCCCCACTTAGGGATTGTGATATTCGGCCCTTTCGTATCCACACAAAATAAATGGAAGTAACGTGGTCTAACTGCAGTATCGAACAGTGTCAGAAACCTCACGAACCGTGAAACTCAACCCCATTGACTCTTGAAAAATGTACTTCACGTTTCTGATAAAACACGTTAACCTGTAGCGAACTCGTGCGCTGGACCACTTATATTTATACGCTTATTTTAGCATCTCACTCATAGATCAAACTATGGATTGCCAACTGTTAGCAATTATCATGGCTCTGCTGGACGGATAAAAGTTCATGATATCCTCAACGGTTTAATGAGACTGCATTAACTGAGAAATGAACAGGGATATCTCTAAGCCTGTCAATAACGCATACAACTCCTTATTTACAAGCTTTAGATATCGCACTCGCAATGCAGAGAAGAAATAATGCAAGACTTTCGTCCACGCTCAGATTTAGGGTATGCCCCGCGATAAGCCTCATCCTAAGTCTAAGCGCTGAGTAAACCCGTAACTTACGGATTTTGCGTGTATAAAGACTGTTGTTTTGCTTGCTGCATCCGAATACACCTTTGAGTAGTGCTTAGAGTAGATATCATGGGTGTTGAAACGATTGCACTCGAAGGCGATATGGCAGAAGGCTGTTCTGTTCAAAAAATGACACGCTGTGCACTTGCATAATACGAGGATTTCAAACAAAACGGAATAATGAAGCGGTGGCAGCAGTACGAACAATAGCAGGTAATGAAGAAGCGAATAAGTTAATGAAAAGGTATTACATAAACAACTGAAATATGGCAATTAGGCACGTTGCATAAAACGTTGCTGTGATGTTATGTACTCAATCAGTGAACAAATGAATGAAAATAACAACAACGAACCGTCAATAAAGGAATACATCAATCAAGGGAATTGATTAGATTATTACTAAGTATGTTACACATACATATTATATAGTAAATGATCACAGAGACAGGTATCATATCATCGCGAAATAACATTAAATCATTATGATAAATTCACGTCAAATCAAACAACAATCTAACGGATAAACGTTATTCAATAAGTGAGAATTGATAAAAGGCGTGCCATAAACATTAAAAATGATTGCAAATGTTCAACAACAACAACAACAACAACGACAACAACAGAATGTTCATTTTGAAAATAATAATAACAATGGATAATCGCATGAGGAACTTCAAATATTAAAAAGGAATGATCACTTATGGCTTGTGAAATGACTTGCATCAAATGAAAACAATAACAATAAAAAAATCACAACAATAAAAATCTTAACAATAATAAATTATTCAAGTCAACAGCAAACATTATCGGCTGATCTTCTTAAAGCAACGCGTAATAATGACAATATCACAAATAATCAAGAAAAGATTGCAGAAATTGTTTTTGATAAATTAAAATTTCACAGCGAACCTTCCAAAGAAGAAAGCAGCCCAAAACACTGAAAAATAAATGAGAAGATTCACCAGAAAGACAACGCCTGCTAACGAGATAAGCAAATGAAATAACTAGGTGAATCGGTAAAACCAAAGAAAATGAAATAAGAGGATAAACTGTGACAAGAAATGAATAACAAAACAATGATCACATAATAATATCCGGTTCAGGAACATTCCCAGAGATAGCTTTATGTGGTAAAACACGAGCACCATTCAGATATAATTCATCATTTATGACAACGTCATCGCCAATCACACTCGTATTCTCTATGCGCACCCAACGACCTATACTACACTGCAAGCAAATCCTCGATTATATAATATCAGAGTTCACAATGAACTGCAAAGCAATGATAATAATGAAATAACAATAACAGTAATAATGATAATAAGAATTAAAACAGAGATGAAATCAATCAAAAATTTGGAATTAAAACCAATATCATTCGAATATAATCAAAATGGAATACTTTCGTTGTAAATTAAGAAATCAAAGGGCACCAAAAGTGTAAGAATTACATGAAGAGTGTAGTCCTGCATTTGTCAGACACGAACGCAAGAAGATAACATAAGAAACAAAATACTCATAAAAATGAATCACTAAATTACAAACCTTCCTACCAATAATACAGCTATTGATCCAGGAATGCGTGCGTATGATACTATCCGAAAGAATAGTGCAATGACGCAGACATACACCATTCTCAATGCGTACCCGAGGACCAATGACCACATTCGGACCTTTGAAGATACAAACAATTAAGAGCAATCTACTTGACAGGATTCAATCAAAAAAGAGATATCTCGAATACACACCAATACGACAATCACGACCAATAATGGCAGTCTCATCAACCATCACATTACCCTGAATATTATCACCGACAGCCAACATCGAAGCATCTCGTTCACGGATATGTTTCAGGTATAAGCGCATTCCTTAAAGCATTTTCACTTAATCATTCCATTCCAGCCAATCAAACCAAATAATCCACCTGTAAGGAAATCTTTTGGTTGACCAACGTCCATCCAAAAACCTGGCAGCACATATGCATACAATTCTCCAGCTTTTGCCATTACTGGAAAGATTTCTTTTTCGATTGAAGTTGGACTCAGTGGAATACGATCGAGTACGGATGGCGACAAGATGTACATTCCAGCATTGATCTGCACTTTATTTCATATTGTTTTACTATGGAAGCAGTGTCAGCTATTTGTTCACTACATGAAAGCAACTCTTAATGGCTCAATTCATCCTACCTTCGAATGTCACTAAATAAGACAATAAAAAACAATCACCTTATTGCCAACATATTCTTGAGGCTTCTCTACGAAACTGTCAATTTTGCCAGTCTTTTCATCGAACACACAAACACCATACTTACTCGGCTCTTCAACCTGAAATTTCTTTTCAGTGAAGCAATCAAATTTGAATTAGTTCCAATTAAATGAAATTTTTGTCGACACGAAACAAATCTTTATAAGAATTTACGAATGAACAACCTTAGTGACAGCGATTGTTCCTTCACGATTGTGTTTCTTATGGAATTCAATCATTTGACGAAATGGAAAGTCGCAGATCACATCAGAATTGAGCACAAAAAACGGTTCACCATCATCAAGTAACAGATCTTTTGCTAACGCTAATGGTCCTGCTGTGCCTAATGGTACTTCTTCCACCGAAAAATGAACCTTGATACCTTAAACAAAATGAATAAAAATTATCAAACTTAACGGATGTCTTCTCCCTTTCTGCCCCTCTTCCCCCAACCCCACCTCGTCGCCTTCTTTACCTACCTAGTTGAGTGGCTTGCTCAGCCATTTCTTTTTCCAACAGCTCAGCACGATAACTGACTGCAAGGATTACCGTATCAACACCTGCATTTACTAACGCTTGTATCTGAAAAATAAATGTGTGAATTGTCTCGATGATGAGTAAATATCAGGTATTTGTTTGTCTAGTTTTGAAACGAACGTGGAAACACTATTTGAGGTGAAAATGAAATTGAATTCAGCAAACCTGATGCAACATCATCGGTTTATTTGCAAATTCAACAAGGGGTTTTGGTTGCGTCAGGGTCAGTGGTCGCAAACGAGTACCATAACCACCAACTAATATAAGAGCTTTCATTGTAATCACTTTTTTATTACTTTTATTATTATTACTATTATTGTTACTCTTTATTGCATTCACCTGCAATTACCATCAGCATCATAGCAGCAAAGTAACAAAACAAGCAAACAATCACAATATTAAAACTGGATTCGAATCCCGTTTACGAAGGAAATTTTTGCGCGTTACCGAGTGGTATACCAATATCAAAATCACTCCTTCGAACATTATTAATAATACGATACAAATCTACTACACTTTTGCAACGTTCCAGTGACGTGGATTTAAAGGCGTTATGAAACAGACTGTGCAAAAGGGTGGAGCCTTGCGAAACAACGGCTGGCATTGAATAGTCGTCGTTACGCCACTTGGCATTCATTCATTTAAGCAACGAATCTTCCAATAGTCCAACTATTGGATACGTTCAGACTATTCGATTTCGAGTGAAATTTTCCCACACGAGCACGACTTCAGAGTTGGTGGTATACGGGTGTGCGTTCAGATACCACACCAACTTTTGGTCACATTATGAGATAGATTAGAGCTAGGAATGGGGAGACTTTGGGGCGACGGATCCTGCCCCTGTAAGCAGCGGATCCTGTAAAACTGGACCAGTCATTGGATTTCGTTGGAAGATGCCGAGGTCTCCGACTCCTAAAATGATTAATGTGACCGCGTATCACACAGACAACAACTGATCTGTTCAAGAATAACTTTATTCACATTGAAAATCCATCATAGCGATGTGAACAAATTGAAAACATCAATGCGCATAGATATATAACGCTTAAAACGATAATAACACCTCAAAGAATCGTTGATGTTTAGTTTCAGTTAAATTTTTGGCTTGCCAACGCATTTACTTCACTTTTCCTTTGATGTAAATTTTCACAATGCTTGCGCACCTAAAAACTAATTCTTTGAAGAAGTCACCATTACTACAATGCTATCCTCCACTCTCAATAACTCATTTACATTTACTGATCGAATGTCAACTCACTTTAATGCATTGTATCTGTATTGATCAATCTGTACATTAGGTTATGAATATCACGAATACCATAATTAAAGTAACATTGTTCCCAGGTTTACCTCGAAGCATGGTGACTTCTTTACTCTGTTGGACTCTCCCGATTCTTTGGTTTTAGAAAGGCATACATGTTGTTGGGCGATTTTGTTAACAATGAACAATATTTTATAATATATGCACTGATAAAATTGATGCAACGCTAATGTCGTGAGTAGTTCAAAATAAGATGATAAAGACTGTCAGAAACAGAGGAAATAAGATTCACCTCACTTCGACCGCAATCAGAATATGATACCGGTACAATGTAGAATAAAAATGACGGACGATAGACAATGATAAACACCTAGAACGATGGACAATGCACTGGAAGAATGCATACGTGAAGTTAGATGTTTGTTCCCTTTGTTTTCCACGAATAGAGCAGTGGTTTCCATAGAGGAGGTGGAAAATGAGGCTTTTAGCGATTAAAGATTAAAGATGGATTAAAGAAGTTGGTAAGTCTTTGTTGATTGTTTTTTTTTCTAAGTGTTCCTTTGAACAAAAAAAAGTGATGTGCAATAGCTTGAGAATCACTATAACAGAGTAATAAATCATGAAAAACAGAAAAAGAACAATATTTCAATATCAGTGCACTAATAAAATCCATAATGATCAAAAAAAAAGAGTGGAGTTTAGTCTACTAACTGAGCACTAGCATTTTTTAGAATTATACGAACAAAATTATAAATGTAACAAATACTTAAGAAGCAATTTCCAGTAATAAAAACTCCATTTACAAATCAACTGAAGCTGTTATGAATGTGGTCAAGTTCTAAAGATAATGTGAATAACGACAAAATTTAATTTTTAATCAACTTCAAAAATCTCTTTCGCCATCCAGACTCGTCCAGTTTGGATTATATAAACTCAAAATAATCAGTCACTGCAAAAAATCAAGATGATCTATAAACGAAGAAGTCATCCCAGTATGATTCGTCCGTCTTGTCTTCCAAGCAATCAATTTTAAGCATAAATTGAAATAAAGACATGCAAACTGGAATTGTGAAAGGAATAATTCAGAGATGATGATAAAATAATTAAAAACGATGCCTCTAACCGGTCACCAGTCAACAGATGAAACGGCAATTGAAATATTGAACAGTACCACTGAATGATTGAAAATAAAGCTGTATAGAAATATATTGCAAAATTTATGAAACACCGAATTTCAAGTAACAGAAACAACATAACTCTAACAAAATTTTTAATGAGTTGTGAGGCTGTAAAAATAATAAAAAATCATTATTGAGCATTAGAACTACTAAAGGACCGTTGTTGCTGTCAATATCACTGCAAGCTTGTCTTTTTTTTGTTATTGCACCTCACCTATCGATTTTATAAGGAACGTGTTTTGCTTAATTACACGGGTTTTTGATGCAAGCATTTACATCATTATTTGAAATGCCACAAAAAAATATCTGCCATGAGGTACGGGAACAACTCAAATTACAGTCTAATA